CTCTGCCGGGCTGGAATTCCCTCATTCCCACTGCAAAGCACACCTGAGAGATGCTGTGAGTCCCCAGACAGCTGCACACCCGTGTGTGCCCATTTAGGAGCTCTATCAACACAAAGACACCGAGAATGAAGAAACATTGGCTGAGTTTCACATGCCAGAAACAATGAGAAAAGGGAAATGCCACCTGAAAGGATGGGAGCTTGTTTGCCGAGAAGCCTCTGGGCTGAGGGTTTAAATAGACACAGAGCATGGGGGAAGCAGCTGAAAGGGGAAGCGTTTCATCCTAATTTGAGACAACAAAGAATAGGCCTTTGTGGAAGGGATGAAAAACACTTCTGCAGGCCAGGAGCAACGCGCCTTTCCCAAAGCAGCAGCAGCAGCCGTGCCCCGCGCACAGCCCCGCGCCGGGACCGGCAAACACGGCAGGGAGAGCCCGCAGCGGGCACACAAACCCTGCAGCAGGGCACACAGTCACAAATTCCTCCCCTGGAGCTGCCGGGGCAGTCACAAGGCCGGGCTGAGCTGAGCCCTTCCTGCTCAGACGCAGCAGCCGCCAGCGGCGTGACCGGGACGGTGCCCGCGTCCTCCGTCCCTGGCACCCCGTCACACGGGCTGCCCGTGCCAGCCCTGCTCGCTTCTGCTTCAGCCCGCCCCAGAACCAGCACCAGCAGCGTCTGGGAGCACCCAAGCTGCTCCCAGCCCAAGCACTGTGGGGATTTTGAGCAATGAAACAGATTTGAGGGGAAGCCAAGGCCCAGCCCCATCGCTCTTAGAGTCCCTGCGGCACAGAGTCATTGACAACTGTCACCGAGAACTGTCACCACAGTGCCCCACGCAGCCAGGGAGCGCTTTCCTATTCCCTTCTCACCCGGGCAGAGCCACCTGCGTGCCTCTCCCCGGCCGGCACAGGTGGGGAGGCAGCCCCGGGCACCCCGAGGGCTCCAGCCCCGTTCCGGGAAGGAGCAGCCCAGGTGGGAGCGCTCAGCCACAGCTGCCCCCGCAGCTCCGGCCTCGAGCTCGGCTGTACCGAGCCAGAGACCGAACCTGGGCGAGCTCTCAGGCGCTGAAGTGAAACCAGACCAGCCCCGGGCTCCCGGAGCATCGCCCCGCTGAGCTGCACAGCCCAGCTCCCGTCCTGTAGGAGTGTGCTTTTTGTTGATAGAGTGACAAAACTATCGTTTGTTTTCCAAAAAAGGAAAGAAGCGTAGAAGTTTCTCTCAACGATTAGGTGAAAAGCTACCTTATAGGACTTCGGGGACTTCACCTAAAACTTAAGGGCAGCTAATTGGATAGAAGCTAAGAAGTCCCGCTTGAACAATCAGGTAGAAAAAGAAGAGAACAAAGGAATTAGGGGCTTTTGTGAAGTGTTTTTACCAGGAGCAGACCACTCAGGTTTTTCTGTTTGTTATTTTGCCTTTTATTAAAGGCAAAATATCAAACCGTTATTTTGTTTCTAACACTGCAGCAGAAGCCATCCTGCCCATTTTATGCCCTCAAGTACAGCTCAGCTGTCCTTGGGTGTATTATATATTCTTTCGAGAGTTTATGAGACCTGGCTCCAAAAAGAAAAATATAATACCACACCTCTGCCATCCCGGCCAGGCCGTCCCGCTGCGCCAGCCCATCAGCCGCTAGCTGAAGTTGCTTTATTTTTATTTCTTTTTCCAGTGGCAGAGCTTGAAATCAGAGATGAACAAGCCTGAAGGAGCTCCTGCCTGGCCTCTCATGTATTCCAGATGCACATGCTCCAATCGCCGCTTGCCAAACAGGATACGAGGCGCAAGGAAATAAAGCATTTTATCTTCAAGCTTTTCCAAGAGGGTATTAGAAACAATGGGGAGGAAATACAAAATTAACACTAGAGAAGAGCAATTGGCAGTGCCCTTGCGAGGCTGTTCTTCATTACAAGGCTGCCTATTCAGCGGCTTTCATTAGGAAAATCACATCGCAGAGCCATTCCCAACAGTGTCCCTATTTCCTAATTAGGCTTCGCCAAAGAGCTGCATCTCTCAGTTCCCGCCCGGCGCACAATCACAACAATTACCATTTCATTGCACCCGGCCGCCGAAAACACCGCAATTAAAGCATCTGAGGAGTCACACGGGCGCGTCAGCAGCGAGACAAGTTCTCACGTCGTGCTAATTGGCGGCCAAAGAGGGATCAGAAGGACGGGAAGGGCGGGCTTGGGTCTCCGTGCTGGGAAAGGCGCTCGGGGGCTGCGGCCGCTCCCCGGGCTCCCCCCCGGGAGCCGCGGACGGGGCTCGGTGCCAGGGGAGCGCTGGTGACAGCTCCTGCCCGCCCTCCGCATCCTCGGGAGTATCCTTGGGTCACACCCCCGTCACCAAAGAGCCCTGACCCGACCCCAGGTGATGCAGCCCTGGGTGGGTTGCAGATGTCACCTGGAGCCCGTGGTGATGGCTTTGGATGGGTGGGACCGTGTCCTCACAGCGGACATGAGAGACGGGACAAGGATGGCGAGCCCAGAGCCTCTGAGGGAAGCGGAGCAAAGGAGAGAGCAGGGAAAGAGCTGCAGAGCCTGGATTGCACCCACAGCTCCCGTTTCCTGCAGGCAGTGACATTTCCAGCCCGAACCAGCAAAGCACAGAGCTGCAGTGCGGGCAGCAGTGCGATGCCCAGGGATTTGGGGGCACAGTTTCCATATAAACCTCATCCTCCCTCCCCTTCCTCTCACCTGGAAGTTCAAGCCGCTGCTGGGAGCAGAGCTCAGACACAAAAGGAGTCTCTCACTGCTCTCAAAAGCACCTAGGGCACTCACCTGAGTGACACCCTCGGGCACAACTTTCCACTTGCAGAATAAGAATGCAAAATTGGGCAGCCCCGCCGCGCTCAGCGGGCACCCAAGAAAGAGAAGTCGAAACTACTCCAGGGTGAGCAGCAGCTTGCCAAGGTCCCCATGCCGTGCTGGCTGTCCCCGGTCCCCAGCAGAGGCAGGGCACTGATGCTGGCAGCCCTCAGCCCCGGGGCTGCTGCAGCTGCCAGAGCTGCTCATCCTGCTGGAGCAGCCCTGCTCCTCTCTGCCAGCACTTCCCACTGCTCTCAGTTCTTCTTTCTCAGTGCAAAACCCACATCTTCATTTTCACACTCAGCAAGAAGGCACTCGGGGCTGCTCTTGGTTGGTTCCTGTGCCAGCTGGATGCCCTGATCTCCAAGGGGAGGAGGGAGAAGCCAGCGGCACCATCCTACAGGTGGATGTGGGGCTGCCCTCACCCAGCCAAAGCAGAACTCCACTTTCTCCCTCTGAAGAAGCACCTCCAGGTGTCTCATGCCCTTTCCCCTGCCCTGAGCAGGCTGCAGAGCTGTGGAGCAGGACGGGGGTGGCCACACAGGGCCAGGCAAGGCAGAGCACCGAGCTCCCATCCCAGCTCCCGCCGCAGCACACCTGGCTTTGCCCAGCTCCTTCCCTTGGAAAGCTGCAGAGCACCCCCAGCGTCACCTGGGCCCTCCGGCCTCACACAGCCACCGTGACTGAGGGACAGAACCACTGCCACCACCACAGCCTGGCTCTGCCTCCTTATCTTGTCACCTTTCTATGTCTGAGCTTTAATCTGAGCAGCACCCAGAGCTCCAAACCACTTTGCAACCAGGTTTCGGAAACACTTCACAACTCCATCCGAGTTTGTGCTTTGAACAAGAGAAAAACCCAAACACCAAACCAAGAGACCTTTCTGACAGCAGGAAAAGTAAAGCCTTGCATAACCCCTGGAGTTTGCAGCGGACCGAGATTTAGAAAATTGACCTAAACGGTGAAACAAAACAAATCGCAGCTGCTCAGCATCAGGGCAAGCAGCAGGAGCAGCACCAGCCTGCAGCTGCCTGGGCAGTTTCGCTGCCCCGGGAGCAGCAGGGCCCGAAACCAGCCCTCAGCAAAGCTCCCGGCTGCTGGGGACAGCAGCCAGGTTGTCACAAACATGAAAACCAAGGGCTGAAAGCTCTTTTCTCCCGCTTTCGTTAGTGATTTGAATCAGCAGAGCCTTTTTCTCCCTCAGGGCTCACACCTCCACAGCAGCTCGCCATGCTCTGGGGGAGCCGGGCCGGGCACTGACTGGGTGGCACTGGTGCCACTGGGAGGCCACAGGAGCACCTGATGGAAGATGCTCCTCGGCAGGCACAAGGAGCAGCGCGGGCACAGCTCGGGGCTGGCGCCTGTCCAATCCCCTATGCTGGAGGGGTGACGCTGCCGAGCTTGTCACATCCCAAACCACATCCTGTTGCCAAAGCAGAGCCTTCCCTGGGGCTGCACCTCAGCCCCTGGCGCCGCGGAGAGCCGGTTGAGGGAGCGACAGGCGACTGGTGGTGACCTTTGGGTCCCTTCAGGGAAGGGCTCCTGCTGCAGTGACCGGGGTGAGTCACTGCCGCCCCACCAAAACCCCGGCCGAGAACCGGAGAGCCCCCGGCATTTCCCGGGGACCCCGCCGCGGCACGGTGTCCCCTGGGGCGGGCAGGGCCCCACACCTGGCCCCGAGCAGCAGCTCCGTGGGGCCACGCGGAGAAAAACAAACACAGAGTCCCGAAATGAGTCACAACAGCCGGGCCGTCCCCACCCGCGGGGTGACACCGGCTCCTCCTGGCCGGCCACGGGCTGCAGGGGCACCCGAGGGAGACGCGGGGACCCCCCAAGGGTGCAGGAGAAACCCCAGCCGGGGCAGTGACACCCCGCTGGTGGCTTTGAGAGGCAGCCCCAAGTTACACGCCAGCCCCGCATGCCCCCGCTTTCTGTTACCCCATTACAGCGAGCCCCCGCCACAGGCACTGCCCCCTCCGGCACGGCGGTGCCCAGCGCACCGAGTCCCGACCCGCGGGTTGCACGGACACCCGGGAGCACAAGGGAGCCCTTCCTCCACGTGCACGGGTGTACGGAGCCCCCCGCCCCGGTTACCCCGGGCTCGGTGCGCGTACGGTCCCGCCGGCCCGGTCACAGGGACACCCCGGGCTCGGTGCGTGCCCGGTCCCCCCATCCCGGTCCCCCCCGGCTCTCCCACCTGCGGGGCGGCTGCCGCCGGGGCTCCGTGCCCATCCTCGGCCGGCCCCGCCGGGCTCCGCTCCGCTCCGCGCCGGGCGGCACCGGCGGCACCGGGGCGGGCGGGGCTGGCAGCGGGTCCGCCCCGCACATGTGCACAGCCCGCCCCGCCCCGGCCGTGCCCCGGCACCTGCCCCCCGCTTCCTCCGCCCGCCCAGCCCTCCGTCCTTCCCTCCCTCCATCCAGCCGTCCCTCTGTTCCTGCCCCGCTGCCAGCACCCTGCCGTTCACCCAGCCAGTCATCCATGGATCCCCTCGTCCATCAATCCATGGACCCATCTATAGTGACACCATCACCACTTTCCCTTCCACCCTTCAGTCTTCCATTCATCCACCCCTCCTTCTATCCCTTGCTCCTGCCACTCTGCCCCTCATCCCTCCGTGCATTCATCCACCATTCTGCTATGCATCCATCTGCCCTTCCCTCCATCAATCTCTCCTTCTTTCCATCCATCCATCCATCCATCCATCCATCCATCCATCCATCCATCCATCCATCCATCCATCCCTCCCCTATCCATCTCTCCATTTCTCCCTCCCTCTCTCCATTCCTCCATCCTGTGTGTGATGTTTTCCTTCCCTCCCTGCACTGCCCTGTGTCTCACCTTTGCAGGGCAGGCCCTCAGCCCCTCCGTGCCAGTGCCAAGCCCAGGCTGGTGACACAGGCTGGGACGTGCTGCTCTGGCAGCACCCAGGAATGGCGTTTTCCTGTTGCCCTCACGGCTGGTCCTGAGGAAAGAACGGTCCCACTCTGGTTCGTGGCCCCACTCCTGTCTCCTGCCCCCACTCCTGTCCCCTGTGCTCGGGGCTGGGGGCCGGATCCCGCCCGGCCGGCGCTGGGGCAGGAACCCGGGCGGGTTCTTCTGCGGATCTCGGTTTGTCAAAGAGAGTGACCGCTGCCACCGCTGCTCCGAGAGTCGAAACCTGCTCGGGGGCCAAAATAGCTGTGGCTTCGGCAGTGAAATTCCAGTGAATTTTAAAAAAAGCAAACCCAGTCAGAGCCGAAATCCCCTTTCATTGGTGGCCCACGGAGTCAAACGCCCGCAGTGCAAAGCGTGTGGGACGAGAGCCCCGGGTGCCTGCGTCACCTGCGCCAGGTGAAACCCCGCAGAGGGACATGGGCTCGGCCTTCGCCAGCTGAGCGGCCACCAGCAGTTCAGAAGAAATCCTGAGGCAGCAAAAATAGCGGGACAGGGAAGGTCAGGTGGCGATGTCACGGTGCCACCTGCCCCAGGCGCTGACCTGGGAAACAGCCAAGCGCTCTGGCAGAGCTTTGTGTCCCAGCTCCTCTTGGCCAGAGCTCTTCACTGGATGCCAGTCTGGGGTGCCAATCTGACCTTTCCCATCCCTTCTGCCCCATTCCCACCTCCTCATTTCAGACCCAGCTTCTCAGGCAGATCCCTGAGCTGGAGGAACTGGGAGGTGCCTGAAGGGCCAAAGCTGCAGAGGCCAAACTCTTCTGGCTGCTGGGGCCACAGTGTGTCCCCTCCTGTCCCTTCCCTCCCCACCTGAGGCACCGGGAGCTCCTTATTTTGCTCCTGGGGGCCCGGGGCAGCTGAGGAAGTTACCAAACATGGGCTGGGGGGGCTCGCGGCGGCGGAAGGAAGCGGAGGAGGGCAGGGAGGGGCCGTGCCAGAGCTGCAGCGGTGACAAACAGCGCCTGGGGCCGCCAGGCTGACACAGCCACTCGGGGAAAGGGCTCTGGAGCAGGGCCACCTCCAAGGGGTGTTGACACCAGCGTGTTCCTGGGAGCTCCCTGGAGCAGGGAGCTGTGTTCTCCCTATTGCTGGCTGGTCTGAGTTCAGGGGAACCTGGGGACGCCGGTGCCACACGAGGGTGACAGCAGGCAGAGGGAAGTGATCCCAGGTGGCTTTTGGGGTCATACAGAGAGCAGGAATGGCATCCTCAGTGGCTCTCCCCCAGGATGAGGCGTAGCACTGAGTGTGGCTGTGGTGACACCAGCAATGATGCCAAGCAGTTGGAGCTCCAGCCAAAGCAGGCCTTGGAACACCAGCAGCTCCGGCACGTCCCAGCTCAGTTCCTGCCCTTGGAGCTGCTGACCAGCCCCAGCAGGAGGAGGAAGCTGAGGCTGTGCTCTGATGAGCTCATTTAGACCTTTGGGTTCTCTGTGAACACTCCAGAGACAAAGAATGGGTTGGGTTGGAAAGGACCTTAAAGCTGATCTTGTCCCAAACTGCTGGCAGGTGAAGGGACACCTTCAACTGAGCAAGGTGCTTCAAGTCCCATCCAACCTGGCCTTGGACACCTTACACTAAAGTTCAGTTCATCACAGTCCCGTTGCCATTCTTCTCTGCTCCACACCCAGACACACTCCCTGAAACTGCAACTCCAACCCAGCCCCACGCTGGGAATGGAGCATTTCAGCCCCCCAAAATGCCAGGAAGTCACCAGCTCTACACTCAGGCCGAGCTCTGCAGACTGCACCCCATCTCCCTGGGTGCTGCTGGTGCCCCGAGCAAGGGTTTCCAGCAGCTTTGGGATGGCTGACCTGTCCTTACACAGCCCCCGAGGCTGCTGTGGGCTGCTGGGGCTGCACAGGCTCCAGGTGAGCCCCCTGCTACCCTCTCCCAGGAATGGGGATCCCACCCTGGCAGAGCAGCTCAGCCTCCCCCACCACCTGTCCCTCGGAGGGAAGGGGAAGCAGCATCACTGAAAAGGGAACCTTCTTGTCTCTGGTTTTCCCCACAAGTTGTGTTTTTCATTTCTCAGAGCACACTCAGAGGATCCCGACAAACTCTTCTGCAGCCCTTGAGAAATGAAACTGGGGCAGAGCCCTCGCTGCGGGCAGATCTGACACCAGACCTTCCCCTTCCACCGCCCAGGGAGGAGGAGACAATAGAACTTTACATGGCCCAGTCTGTTGAGGTGTCAAAGGTTTTCTGGCCAGTTCTGGGCTGGGAGGGCTCCAGAGCTGTCCCACTTTCGGCAGATGAGTCTGACCTGCCCCGATCTGGGGCATTCCCAGCTCTTCGCTCAGCCCCGGCTCCTCCTTCGGGCGGCATTCAGCCGAGGCTGGAGCCCTCTGCTCACTGCTCAGAGCTCCCTGCCCTGACAGCAGGGGATTCCTGCCCGGATCCCTGTCCGGGACCAGGCGGAGCGAGGCAGCCCCGGGAAGGGGCAGAACGCTGGGAAGAGCCGGGCTGGGAGCGGCTTTCCCGTGGGCTGAGGTTTCCACCCTGTGTCCTGCCGGAGAACTGCACTGATGGAGCGGGTTCAGCATCCCCGGGGGTGCGGCTCAGCCCGCCCTGTGCACCCAGCTGGGCAAGGAATCCCTGGAAAACACTTGCCAGGAGTGCTCTGCCTCTGGCAACCCCCCTGGGTCAGTCCGGGGCAGGGACGATGCGAGTGCTGAAATTCCGTGGGGCTGTGGCTGTGGTGGCCCTCAGCGCTCTGTCTCGGCCACCTCAGTCTGCAGAGCCAGCAGCACCTTCACTTCCCAGAGCAGCACAGCTCCTGGTGAGCTCCTCAGCAATCAAACCGGGCTCAAAGCTCGCTCTGGGCTCTGCCAGCTCGGCTGTGCCCGCATCACTCCAGCTCCTGATGGCACTGAATAAACCTGGGCAAAAAGGAATAAATCTGGGCAAAAAGGAATAAATCCGGGCAAAAATGAATAAATCTGGGCAAAAATGAATAAATCCGGGCAATCCCTGGAGCTGGCTGCACGCTGGGCCCGTGCTGGGCTCCCCCAGGCCTGGGGACAGCTGGACACGTCCCCGGGCAGCCACACAGGGGTGGAGGGGGCCGCGTTCCAGGGCTGTGAGGCCAGAGCAGCTGCAGTTTGTTCTCCTTGGCCAGGTCACAGCCCTGCCACCCAGCACCGCCCAGCCGTGTCCCACCCCCTCACTGCCACTGCCCCTCCACTTCTGGGTGCACATTTTATGAGGGCCAAGGTGTCAATCAGGTGTAAATCTCAAAATCTGAGTAGAAACTACAGAGTCCTGCACCCCTCAGGAGCTGGGCTCTGCCTTCAGGGGCTGAAATGTTTCAGCAAGGGACATCCCAGAGGAGCAAGGGCTCGGCTGTGCCCGCATCACTCCAGCTCCTGATGGCACTGAATAAACCTGGGCAAAAAGGAATAAATCTGGGCAAAAAGGAATAAATCTGGGCAAAAAAGGAATAAATCCGGGCAAAAAGGAATAAACCTGGGAAAAAATTAATAAATCTGGGCAAAAAGGAATAAATCCGGGCAAAAATGAATAAATCTGGGCAAAAATGAATAAATCCGGGCAATCCCTGGAGCTGGCTGCACGCTGGGCCCGTGCTGGGCTCCCCCAGGCCTGGGGACAGCTGGACACGTCCCCGGGCAGCCACACAGCCAGGGGTGGAGGGGGCCGCGTTCCAGGGCTGTGAGGCCAGAGCAGCTGCAGTTTGTTCTCCTTGGCCAGGTCACAGCCCTGCCACCCAGCACCGCCCAGCCGTGTCCCACCCCCTCACTGCCACTGCCCCTCCACTTCTGGGTGCACATTTTATGAGGGCCAAGGTGTCAATCAGGTGTAAATCTCAAAATCTGAGTAGAAACTACAGAGTCCTGCACCCCTCAGGAGCTGGGCTCTGCCTTCAGGGGCTGAAATGTTTCAGCAAGGGACATCCCAGAGGAGCAAGGGACAGCCAAGAACCTCAGCGGGGACACTTGGGGCTGTTTGGCCTCTCGGGAGGTTTCGCTCCCAAATGAGGCTGCAGCGGGAGAGGGCCGGATCCACAGGAACACGGACAGGGCTCCTCTCCCCTTCCAGCCCCTGGAGGGTCCCTCCCCCGGACACGAGCCATCCTGTCCCCATCCCTGGCTCGGCGCTGGGACCCCAGCAGATGGCAGCAGGGCCTCAGGGTGAGCTCCTGTGGATCGCTTCTCTCCGCGAATTTCCTTTTTTCCCGGCTTGCTTTAAGTGAGAGAAATCACCCCGTGCAAATCCACTGCAGATGCGCCTCGGGATCGGCTGGACTGGGAGAGGGACGTTTGCCCTGCTCCTTGCCCAGGTGACAAACTCGGCGTCCTCTGCAGGCGCCCGAA